AAATGAATGCACAAAATACACAAACCCGTGGGACTCTTCCAAAGCACTGCTAAGAGGAACGTTCTAAGCATTAATGCCTATATAAAGAGACTGAAGAATAGTCATACTAGTGACTTAACAGCACGTACGAAAACTGTAGAAGACAAAAGCAAACTCACCCAGAAGGAGCAGAGGCTAGGAAATAATAAATTCGAGGGCTGAAATCAACAAAGTAAAAACAAAGAATCAATGAACAAAAAGTTGGTTCTTCAAGAAAATCAACAAGGTAGACAAACGTTTATTCAAAATAAACCAAAGACTGAGAGAACATGCAAATTAACAAAATCAGAAATGAAAAGGCAGACATAACAACGGACACTGAGGATATTTAAAGTATAACAGGTCATACTCTGAAAAAGCAAACTTCAAAAAATTGGGAAATTTAAGGGAAAGGAACAATAACTTGGATAGTTATTACTTACCAAACTGAAAACAAGAAGAAATATGCAATTTGCACATAACTAGAAACCCTAATGAAACAGAAGCAGTCATCGAAATTCTCCCATCAAAAAAAAGCCTAGGTTAAAATGGAATCTGTGCAGCATTCTACCAGAAATTCAAAGAAGAGCTCATACAAATACTAATCTAATTGTTTCACAAAATAGAAGAAGCGTCATTGCCAAACTCTTTTTATGAAGGCATAATTACCTTGATATATAAGCAACACAAAGGCACAACATAGAAAGTGAACTACAGACCAGTCTCCCTCATGAATATTGATGCAAAAATACTCCATCAAATACTGGTAAACTGACTCCAAGTACCCATAAGAAAAATAATTCAGCATAATCAAGTAGGTGTCACCTCAAAGATGGAACGATGGTTTAACACATGACAATCTGAAAACATTACCAGCATATAAACAAACTGAAATACAAAACCGCACGATCACCTCATTATATCAAACTAAATGGAGAGAAACTCACTGCGATTCCTCCAATATCATAAACAAAACAATGTTGTCCACTCTCCCCATATCTCGTCAATATTGTGCTTCAAGTTGTAGTTAGAGTAGTAAGAAAACAAGAGATCCAGAGGATACAAATTGGAAAGGAAGAAATCAAATTTTCACTATTTACAAATGATAGAATATTTTACACCATTGACCTGAGAAATCCCTCCAGGAAACTCCTCCAGTTAATAAACACCTTCAGTAAAGTTGTAGGATACAAGATAAAGTCAAATATTAACAATGTTCTTCCCATGTTTAGAAATGATAACGGATCTAAGAAACAAACAATAGAAATATCACCCTTTACAATAGTCACACATGTAAAATGTCTTGAGGTAATTCTAACCAAACAAGTGTAAGACCTGTATGACAAGAACATTAAGTCCCCAAAGAAAGAAATTGAGACCAGCAGGTCCAGGGAACCAACAGGACCAGTGGGCCTGGCAGGACAAGCAGGACCATGTAAAACAGGCCCTGCATCCAATCCCGCATTCCAGTGCATAGGAATTGCCTGGGGATTGCCACAGGGGTTCCAAACCAAGTGCAGGCAATGCACCCCAGATCACTGGTCTTCTCTTCCACCAATGAGACCAAGGCACCAGCTATTTCAGGTAAACAAGGCCCCATATCCGGGCCTGCCTTCCACTGCTTGGGGACTACCACAGAGCCTTCCATGTTGGCAGGAGTCAAGTATCCGTGATCCCAGAACTTATCTTCCACCAGTGAGACCAGGGGACCAGCAGGTCCATATAAGCAAGGCCCAGCATCTGGGCCTGCATTCCAATGGCAGTGGACTACCTACTGACTGCCACAGAGCCACCCATCCAGCTGGAGCCAAGGACGCTAATCCCAGGTCTTCTCTTCCACCAACAAGAACAGGGAACAAGCGGGACCACCAGTACCAGAGGGTCCAGTGGAAACATTTCTGGGGGACTGCCACAGAGCCTACAATCCTGGCAGGAGCCACACACATAAGATCCCAGGTCTTATCTTCCATAAAAGTGAGAGAACACCAAATAGAGTGGATCACTAAAGAAACTCCCTCGCCACATAATAATCAAGACCCAAATTATACAGAATAAATAAAGAATATTAAGAGCAACTAAGGAAAAAGGCCAAGTAACATATAAAGGCAAACCTATCAGAATTACACCTGATTTCACTGTAGAAACACTGAAACCCACAAGGTCCTGGATAGATATTCTACCAATACTAAGAGCCCATGTATGCCAGCCCAAACTACTATAACCAGCAAAGCGTTCAATCACTGTAGTTGGAGAAAACAAGTATTCAATGACAAATCTAGATTCAAGCAACATATCCACTAACCCAGCCCTACAGAAAATTCTGGAACAAAATCTCCAACCCAAGGAAGTTAACTATACCCAGAAAAATATAGGCATTAGATAATCCCAATTTACCAACAGCCAAAAGAATAAGGGGTGGAATTCCACACTTAATTCCACCACCACCAACGATTCCAAATCAAAGAAGAATGAGCAAAATTAATGGCCCTCAATATTAATGTCCTTAACTCTCCCATAAAACGATACAGAATGGATTCGAAGACACAACCCAACCTTCTGCTGCATACATGAAACATACCTCACCCTCAAAGACAGACAATATATCAGAGTTAAAAGTTGGGAAAAGATTTTCCAATCAAATGGACCCAAGAAAGAAGCTGGGGTAGCAATCCTAATATCTAACAAATTAGACTTTAAAAAAGTTCAATCAAAAGAGATGAAGGAGATCATTAAATACTCATCACAGGAGATATCCAACAAGATGAATTTTCAGATTTGAACATCTATGTCCCAGATACAAAGGCATCCATGTTAGTAAAAGAAACATTACTAAAACTCAAATCACATATAAAGCCCCATACACTTACAGTGAGAGACTTCAACACCCCAATCTTACCACTAGACAGGAATACCAGACAGAAACTCAACAAAGAAGCAAAGGGTCTAATAGAAATTGTGAGCAAATTGGGATTAACAGTTATCGATAGAACATTCCATCCACATAAAAGAGAATATATACTCTTCTCACCACCACATGGAACATTCTCAAAAATCTACCACATACTTGCCACCATATCAAACCTCAGCAGGTACAAAAGAATTAGAATAACTCCATGCATCTTATCAGACCACCATGCATTAAAATTAGAATTGAACTACAACGCAAATTACAGAAACCCTACAAACTCATGGAAATTGAATAATGCACAATTGCCCCATTCCTGGGTCAAAGAAGAAATAAAAAAAAAGAAATTAAAGACTTCCTAGAATTCAATGAGAACGGAGACACAACATACCCAAACTTATGGGACACATTGAAATAAGTGCTACGAGGGAAGTTCATAAGTTCCCACATGAAGAAACTGGAGAATAGTTAGAATGGAGAATTATCAGCACAGCTGAAAGCTCTAGAACACAAAGAAGCCAACTCCCCAAGGAATAGGAGACACCCGGAAATAACCAAAGTGAGGGCTGAAATCAATAAAGTACAAACTAGGAAAACAATACAAAGAATCAATGCAACAAAAAGTTGGTTCTTTGAGAAAATCAACAAGATAGACAAACCTTTGTCCAAACTTCCCAAACAGCACAGTGTAAACACGCAAATTAACAAAATCAGAAATGAAAAAGGGGACATAACAGTGGACTCTGAGGAAATTCAGATAATCATCAGGTCATACTTTGAAAACCTGTACTCCACAAAAGCAACAGGATAGATAACCTTTAGTTCCATTGTTTTGGCCCTCCCACCCTCATCCATTATTACCTATGGCAGCTGGGACTGTGGTCACAAGAGTGGGACATCTTGCACTGACCCTCAGATGCTGCAATACATGAGAAATTAGCCAGCCATGAGGACATAAGAGCAGGAGAGTTGGGCATCTCCCTCTGGGAGAAAGCCCTGTGCCTTTCCTGGGAAAAACAGTAGAGCTGGACCTGGGGATATGAGTGAGGTGGACCTGGAGCTGAGGGCCATAGAGCAGGGGAATTTTCCATGTTCCTTGCTAAAAGCAGCAAGAGTGAGCTAGTGTAAATAGTGCTTTAAAGCTTTTGTTGTTTTGCGTGGAAATCCAATCCCACTCCTGACAACCATTCTGTTATTTTGCGTGGAAATTCATGATCCCACTCCTGATCACCATTCTGTATATAAAATTTATGAAAAAAATTAATTAGTAATGTAAAAATAAATCCAGGTCTTCCCTGAATAAACCTGAACACCCAAGGGTCTCCAGACAGAACTGTGGTTATTTTTCTTTGTTTATGGATCACCTGCCTTAAAAACCTTCTTTCACTTGGAATTTGTAATGTTTACATTTGCAAAAGGTGTTGGAGTACACTGCATTTCAGGCTACAGATCAACATGTTCTATGAACTATCTGAGCTCAGCACAATATGGAGAATATTTTTCTCAGCAGTTTTCTTTCTCTGTCTAAAGTCATGTGAAGAGTGTCTCTATGTTCAGGTACCTGACTTTATTTAGAGGAAGACTTTATACAGAGTGCCTGTAAACTCTGTATGACTATGCATGATTTTACACCTTTCTTCCCGTGTGCCCTGATATTTGAATTGGTACATCGTGAATGTTTATCTTTCCTGAACTTTGTCCAAATATGCAAATTAGGTATATTCTCATGGATGATTTTGTCCTCCTCCTCCCCAATGACTCAAGTTATATAAGTTAGCCCATTGCTTACATAAATGAGTTGTCTCTCCCAAGCTGAATCCTGGACGTTCTTTCCACCATGCTCATAGCTATCCCTAGCATGCTTGCTGCTTCTGCTTCCTTTTCCCTCACATCTCTGTGACAAGGCACTCACAAGGAAAACTGAGACCAACAACATACTTTTCACCATTATTTTCACCAATACTGCTTGTTGGAAGTGTATGAAAACATAATTATGGCCTTCAGGGTTTAGCATGTCAAAACATTCAAAGAAAGGAACACTTTAGGCATACAGAGTAGGAAGCTTAGACATTCCCAGGGAATGAAATTGATGCTTTATTGAGAATGAGTTGATAACTACAGAAATTTTGTGTATGAATAGAAAGTTTTTCAAGCAACATTGTGTCACATGCTGCAAATGCAGGAGGTCTCATTTCAGGCCTCTTGATTTGCCACTAGGCAAGCACCTGGGGCCTTAACCTGACTCTGTAGTTTCAAAGAGCTTATCTCAGAAAGAAAGAACATTACACCAAGGAATGACATGGTGGCTGTCAGAACACCTGTTGGGAACACAGCAGTATAGTGTTTTCCTATCACAGCTTCTTTTTTAACCGGAAAGTCGGGTGGAAAGTCAAGAGTGGTTTGGCCATAATGATCTACAAAGTGGTTCCAGCTCACAGAAACACATGTGAAGAGGCTGCTTACACTCAAAACTAAGGCACAGACCTTGTAGCAATGCATCTGCAACTCCACAAACGGGTCTTTCATACAGCTGATCTTGATGGCTATTGCACCAAAAATTAGAACTATAGGCTTCATCAAAATGGCCCATATTATCAGGGTTTTTGCATACTGAAATTCAGGGGAAATGGTCCAGGTGGAATCGATAGGGGTTTGCACCAACATCTTGATTACAGTCCCTGAGACATTAAACTCTTGAGGGTAATGAGCTTTCCACAGTCCAAAGGACACAAATTGCACGATCTTGTTGTTGAATTCCCACAGGCGCCAGCTTTGGCTACTTGCAATGACTATTTCAAACACCAACGCTGATAGGCTGCTAAGTATTCCTCTCAGCTTCAAGATGTACTCCATTGTGTTGGCAAATCTGAAGATGAGATTGAATAAAGGTCTTGTCAAGTCAGTTACACAAGGGAACATGGAAATCAAAATCAGGTGTGATTTACAGAGCAATAAGCTCTCCTACCTTGTTCCTGCTGTCACATAGTTTTGTTCAAGTAGATTATCTATATATGAGGCCTCATCATACTATAGATAAGAGTATAAGAAGTCCAAAACTCCATGATTATAGCACAAATTCTCTGTGTAAAATTTTGTTTAGCACCCTTAAGTGAAGAGTAATAGAGAAAATGTGGTACATTTACACAATGGAGTAATACTCAGCATAAAAAACCCATGGAATCTTCAAATTTGCACGTAAATGGATGGAACTAGAAGAAACCATCCAGAGAGAGGTAACCCAGTCACAAAAAGACAAACATGGTATGTACTCACTCAGATATGGATTGTGCACATGAAGCAGATGAGTGACTGTGAGTTTGGGAATCAGGGAGGACTCTAAGAGAGATATGCATGGTACACCAGAGAAGGGGAATGGGACATCATATTTGGAGTGGAGTTGGAGTATAGGAGGAGGGAGCCAGCAGCTTTGGTAAAGTTTGAGGGAGAAGAAAAAGGGAGGCTAGGTAATGGGTAAGCAGGAAAGTTGAGTCAGGGGAAGAATAGAGGAGAGTAAGATGAGAGATACCATAATAGAGGGAATCATTAATGGTTTGTAGAAATATCTGGCAGGAATGAAATTCCAGTGATCTACAAAAATGATACTAATTGACAATCTAAGTAATAGTGTATAGGCTACCTTAAATGCCCTTCCCCAATAATGAGATTGACCACTACCTTGTATGCTGTGTTAGAGTCTCCATTCAGTGGATGATGGAAGCAAAGGCAGACACACACAGCTAAACACTGAACTGAAATCCAAGAAACCAGTTGCAGTGATGAACACTGATGAGCAAAGGGGTCAAGACATTGCAATTGAAGCCCACAGAATCAGTTGACCTGAACAAGGGTTTGCTCATGGACACCAGACTGATGGCTGAGCGGCCACCATGGTACTGATCTAGAACCTCTGAGCGTGGGTGTGAGAGAAAAGACCTCGGCAATCTTTGGGGCCTCGTGTAATAGATCAGTATTTATCCCTGGCATCTGAGTGGACTTTGGCAGTCCATTGCAAATGGAGAGATGCTCTCACAGTCTGGACACTGGGAGGAAGGCCTACGCCCTGGCCTGGACTTTGGCTATTGCATATGAAGGGCCTCACTCTCCCTGCAGAGTAGAGTCATCATTGGATTGGGGCTTGGTTGTGTTTGCAGGAGAAAGTGAGGAGAGGAGGGAGAAGGAACTGTGATTGACTTGTGAAGCAAGCATGTTTCTAATCTGAATACATTTTAAAAATAGATTTTCTTACCAGTTTCACTGTATCTGTCAAATGCTGTAAAGTGTGCATTTGTTTATTTAGCAGTTAATACAATGGGCTGTTCATTAAGAGGTCCTAGGTTCAGTTCTCAACACCCCTATGGCAGCTCAAAACTCTTTATAACTATAGTACTGTGAGACGCAATGTCTTCTTCTGGTTGTGTACGTGTAGACAAAACTTCATATAAAATAATTCAATATTTTTGAAAATTTCTATGCAAGATAGGGTGTGGAGGCATTTGCCTTAATCCCAATACTCGGTTTGCTGAGGCAAGTATATCTATTTTAATTTGAAGCCAGCCTGTTCCACAGTGACTTTTAGGATATCCAGGGTTTCACAAAGAAATCCTGTCTCAAAAAAATGAAACAAAACCGAAAACAATCTACAACATTTTTTTGTTGTCTCTTTAACCTTTTGATGGGCAGTTTCCTTACACTACTGAATCAAGTATTTTTAAGACTACTTTAAAAATATGTTTCCTTTAAGAACATTTTCTAATGTACAGGGATTATATTTGGATTTGGTGGATCTTGAAATATGAACTCTTCATTTACAGAAAGGTCCTTCCAAATTGAGGTTTTTTGTCAATTATTAATTGATTGTTTATTGTAACTATTACAAAAAATACTCATATATTAAGGCAATAAACATATCACCCATGTGTGAAGTAGAAGTTTGCCACCTTCTATATTTGTGTCACTGAGTGCTATTTCTTCCTGTGAATTCTCAGATTTTATTTATGTATTATGTATTCTATGTACTGCCTGTATGCAAGAAATGAGCAACAGATCACAATACAGATGGGTTTGAGTCACTATGTTGTTGCTGGGTACTGAATACAGGACCTCTAAAAGAGCAGCCTCTGCTTTTATCCTCTGAGCCATCTCTCCACCCCACCATGAGGATTCCAAGGAGGAAGACTCGGCCTTTTTGCTATGAACAACCCTACAGACTCACCAAGTAAACAGGAGTCTCTATGCACTTAGATAAATCATAAGCACTTAATCACATTTGATGATTCAGATTTCTAATACATATTTAGTAAAGATTAATTTTCAAATTGTTCCTATTCTCTTGCTTGAAATTCCTTACATAGAAGCTTTTGTGAGCAATAACAAAAGCTTGGCGATATTGAAAGGAGTCTTATTCCAGAAAGAAAATTCTGGAAACAGCTGTTCCTCTGGATATATTGAATGATTTTGAATCTTTAGAAGGTTTATTTGGCGAGGCTAAACAATCAAATGTAGGAGGAAACAGCATTGGTTTTATAAAGATTTCCCTAAAAGCAATCGGGCGGTGGTGGCGCATGCCTTTAATACCAGCACTCGGGAGGCAGAGGCAGGCGGATCTCTGTGAGTTCCAGGCCAGGCTGGACCGACAGCCTCCAAAACAATACAGGGAAACCCTGTCTCATAAAACCAAAAAAAAAAGATTTCCCTAAAAACTTGAAGAACTTTGAGGAGACAATATTTACGAAATTATGAGAACTCATGGAATAGTGGAAGTTCTTTCAAACTTTGGTGATCTGTTGATCTGAACTTCATCTAGACAGGGTGAAAAATTTTCAGTGTAAGACCATTGTGAATCACATGATCATCTCACTAGATGCTGAAAAAGCCTTTGACAAAATCCAACACCCCTTCATGATAAAGGTCTTGGAGATATGTGGGATAACAGGGACATACTTATACATAATAAAAGCTATATACAGTAAAACAACAGCCAATATCAAACTAAATGGATAGAAACTCAACACAATTCCTCTAAAATCAGGAACAAAACAAGGCTGTCCACTCTCTCCATACCTATCCAACATGGTACTTGAAGTTCTAGCCATTGCCATACGACAACAAAGGGGGATCAAGGGGATACAAATTGGGAAGGAAGAGGTCAAACTTTCATTATTTGCAGATGATATGATAGTTTACATCAATGACACAAAGAACTCTACCAGGGAACACTTACAGCTGATTAACACCTTCAGCAAAGTGGCAGGCAACAAGATCAACTCAAGAAAATCAGTAGCTCTACTATATACAGATGATAAAAGGGCTGAAAAAGAAATCAGAGAAACATCACACTTTACAATTGCCAGAAACAACATAAAATACTTGGGGTAATGCTAACCAAACAAGTGAAAGACCTGTATTGCAAGAACTTTGAATCTTTAAAGAAAGAAATTAAAGAAGCCCTCAGAAAATGGAAAGATCTCCCATGCTCTTGGATAGGTAAGATCAATGTAGTAAAAATGGCAATCCTGCCAAAAGCAATCTACAGATTCAATGCAATCCCCATTAAAATCCCAGCACAATTCTTCACAGACCTTGAAAGAACAATAATCGAATTTACACAGAAAAACAAAAGACCCAGGATAGCCAAAACAAACCTGTTCAACAAGGCAACATCCAGAGGTATCACCATCCCTGACCTCAAGCACTATTATAGAGCTATATTCCTGAAAACAGCTTGGTTTTGGCACAAAAATAGACAGGTAGACAAATGGAATCGAGTTGAAAACCCGGATATTAACCCCCACACGTATGAACATCTTATCTTTGACAAAGGAGCTAAAAATATACAATGGAATAAAGAAAGCATCTTCAACAAATGGTGCTGACATAACTGGAGGCTGGCATGTAGAAGAATGTGGATCGATCCATGTTTATCACCATGCACAAAACTTAAGTCCAAATGGATCAAAGACCTCAACATAAATCCAGCCACACTGAACCTCTTAGAAGAGAAAGTGGGTGGTACCCTAGAACGAATTGGTACAGGAGACAGCTTCCTGAACATAACACCACTAGCACAGACAGTGAGATCAACAAGTAATAAATGGGACCTCCTGAAACTGAGAAGCTTTTGTAAGGCAAAGGACACAGTAAGAAAGACTAAAAGGCAGCACCCAGAATGGGAAAAAATATTCACTAACCCCACATCTGACAGAGGGTTGATCTCCAAAATTTACAAAGAACTCAAGAAGCAAGTCACCAAAACATCAAAGGATCCAATTAAAAAGTGGGATGCAGAACTAAATAGAGAATTTTCAATAGAGGAGTCTAAAATGGCTAAGAGGCACTTGAGAAAGTGCTCAACATCCTTAGCCATCCGGGAAATGCAAATCAAAACAACTCTGAGATACCATCTCACTCCTGTCAGAATGGCTAAAATCAAAAACACCAATGACAATTTATGCTGGAGAGGATGTGGTGAAAGGGGGACACTCCTCCATTGCTGGTGGGAGTGCCAACTGGTTCAGCCACTTTGGAAATCAGTATGCAGATTCCTCAGAAAAAAGGGAATAAACCCACCACAAGACCCAGCAACTCCACTCTTAGGCATATATCCAAAAGATGCCCATTCATACAACAAAGATTTCTGTTTCACTATGTTCATAGCAGCGTTATTTGCAATAGCCAGAACTTGGAAGCAACCTAGATGTCCCTCAACCGAAGAGAGCATAGAGAAAATGTGGTACATTTACACAATGGAGTACCATTCAGCAGAAAAAAAACAATGGAATCCTGATATTTGCAGGCAAATGGATGACACTAGAAGAAACCATCCTGAGTGAGGTAACCCAGTCACAAAAAGAGAAACATGGCATGTACTCACGTATACATGGATTTTAGATATAGATCTGGGGAGTTCCAGCCTACAATCCCAAGGCCAGAGAGTCTGGGAAATAGAAACTTCATTCAGTGGCTGATGGAAGAAGAGGCAGACTCCCTTGGTTAAGTACTGAGCTGAACTCAAGAAAGCCAGTAACAGAGAGGGAGGACTGATGACCAAAGGGATTAAGACTGGGCTGATTTAACCCAAAGAAACAGCTGACCTGACAAAGGTTAAGTCTTGAATCCCAGGCACCAGCCTGGGAATGCAGCATGAGACTAATCAAGACCCTCTGAATATGGGTGTCAGTGAGAAGGCCTAGGTAATCTATTGAGCCTTGGGCAGCAGATCAGTACTGATCCCAAGTATACACACGGATTTTGGACTCCCATCCAACAATGTGAGGTGCACTCTCACCCTGAACTCTTGGGGAGGGTCTAGGCCCTGCCCTGTATGAAATGACAGAGTATGGACACCCCCATGGAGGGCCTCACCCTTCCTGGGGAAATGAGGGGATAATGGGGGGGTTGGGGGGATGGCATGGGAGGAGGGGAGGGAAAGGGAGAGTAACCTGGACCTTATCTGTTTCTTATCTAAATTTAAACTGAAAAATAAATAAAAAAAGAAAGACAGGTGGGAGCTGGGAGAAGATTTACAAGGTGGGAGACAAGTAGGACAGCATAGGGCATGCATTCCACTCTCCCTGGGGAATGAGGGGATAATGGGGGTGGGGGAAGTGCACTGGAGGAGGGGAGGGAAAGGGAGAGGGACCTGGAGCTGACTTGTGAAGCAACCTTGTTTCTTATCTAAATTCAAACTGAAAAATAAATTTAAAATAGACCATTACGAATAAAATATAATATTTTACAGTAGTACTATATCCTTTACAAGCATATGGCTATGGTTGTTTCAGTTTAACTTTTACTGTAAATGAATTGGTGTTTTGCCTTCATGTATGCATAAGGATGTTGTATCCTGTGGAACTGGCCTTCAAGCAGTTGTGAGGTACCACGTGGTTGATAGAAATTGAACTCATTTCCTCTAGAAGAACAATCAGTGCTTTCAAACCCTGAGCCATCTCTCCAGCCTACTGTTGTTACCTATGAATTTTAATACTTAGTATTCATAGCAAAATAAAGAGTTTGCAATATCATATTTAAGGTGATGCTTATTTCAGCATGATTTTGCAGTGCACTAGTATGACAAATGCCTCATAAAAGAGCAATAAGCTGAGGAATGCCTAGAATAATTACATTTCAAAATTTTGGAAATGAACATTGTAAACAATCTGAACTCACATATAATGTCTACTGAAAGAACAAAGCAAAATGACAAATGTTTCACATGGAACACCCAGTAACATGATGTCACAATTATCATATATATATATATATATATATATATATATATATATATTATATGTTTGTCTGTGCCACATAATTAAAATCTGTATGGAAAGCATGAGAGATATATTTTCCCATCATTACTCACAAATTCTTCAAACTTTCCCTTTCACAAAATTTGTTTCATAATGTTTTAATATTTAAAGTATCCTACCTTAGTGAATAAATATTCTCTCTTGCACCAAATTAAAATATATATGAACTGCATGCTAAAACTAATTAAGAAAACTTCTATTTCATATCTTTGGTTGTAGTCTTAATTTCCATGAAAATCTATGCCCTGAGGGATACCATTTAGTCCTTGAGCAGAACGGTAGAAGGCTAAGGCATGTAATCAATGACATTGCCACTCATAATGCCACTTCTTGCCAGAAACCATCCCCTACTAGCTACTCAGTTCTCTATAGTCTCTGTGGAATGTGCTTCCTAACAGGGAAAAGAAAGTAGCTGTTCTACCAGGGAAGTTGCATCAGCAACATGAGTTTACAAATGGTAGTGACTTGAAACTACCTGCTGAAAAGCTCTTCTTTGACATACAGATACAATGCCTTTTGTAGCACAACTACAATTCGGGTAGAGAATGTTGTTGTAACAGACAAATGGGCTAGCTTGGCAGGATGTGTTTCTGTCCTTGTGTGAATCCCATGGAGGAGATACATGTAGTTCAGAGAGATCCCATTAAAAACCCTCCATGTACCCGACTTTCAGTTTTTACCTTGGTATATCATGGATGGTGAAGAGATCCATTTTAAAGAAGCCAAGATCGTGAATATCTTCTAAATAATAAGAAGCATTGACCCGACAGGTAATCCCATGAGAGATGAATCACCTTCAGCAAAAGAAGTTTTATTAGGTAGGTATTAGAGTACACAACAGTATGTCACCGACAAACCCCTGATCCACACAAGCCGACCCATTCCTCTTCTCTGCTTTGCTTCATTAGAACTTCATTTACAAATTTTAGCCATATCAGGCCACCTGATATTACCATCCCTCCAGTGAGATCCACACAATCATTATCCCATTTTATAGACAGGAAACCAACATAGAGTTTCTAATTCACATGTTCAACTACAGAATTCCACACAAGTATAAATGTCAGTGCAGACTTCAGAACCACTTAGACATCCAGAGATTCTCAGCATTTATGATATTCAGAAGGATTTACTCACAAGGAAATCATGGCAAATAATTGATTAATCATATATCAGTGGTATCTTTGTCCTTCTTTGTCCTGTAATATGAAATGAGATTCATAAAAAATATTAGAAAACATAAATTACTTGCCTCTGTCTCTTCAATGAAGTTCGAATGTCAGTGACTGCCTAGTGTAAGAATAATGACTATAGATATTCTCATGTTTCCATGACTACCAGAGATGAATGGCAGATTATGACCAAAGAAACAGTGTCGTGAAACACAGTCTTAAAGGACCACAGCAGTCAATTTTCCTGTCATATGTGAAAAGGTTTAATGGAAAAAATAACCTACTTAATTTTGCATAATGTTTGTATCCTCATATGTTACGTTTTATCAAGATTTTCCCATTAAAGACAGTTTCCATTTCTTCTGTTTCCCTCACCTCTAACCATCCAACTGCCCCTGCAGGTGTTCTCTCTCTCTCTCTCTCTCTCTCTCTCTCTCTCTCTCTCTCTCTCTCTCTCTCTCTCTCTCTCTCTCTCTCTCTCTCTCTCTCTCTCTCTCTCTCTCTCTCTCTCTCTCTCTGTCTCTGTCTCTCTCTCTCATCTCTCTCTCTCTCTCTCTCTCTCTCTCTGTCTTCCTGTTTCTTGCTTTATCTCTGAAAAAACATAAAATACTAGAAATGAAAATTGAAAATCAACACATAGCATCAGCTTGGCAATGGCCAAGTATTCCTGGTCATGGTGCCTGCACTGCATAGAAATGAGTATGCCCAGTTATATGCTATTGAGAAAACTGATTTCTTTTTCAGAGCAGCTATCAATTACAAATAGTTTCTTGGTTAGTGATGATTCTTTGGGTCTCCTACTCTGTTACACTAGTGGGATATAGTCTGATTTGAAGCAGTGGCGGTCTTGTTTGTGCTTTCAAAGTCTCTTTGAATTCTTATGTGGCATCAGTACTCTTAATTGTTGAGGACCCTATTTCCTAAGTGTCATCAACCACTTCTGACTCCTTCAGTATTTCTCCCTCCACTACTATACAGTTACCTAAGCCTTGATGTGAAGGATTTGATGCCCATGTCCTAATGAGGACCGAGAACTTCAATGTCTCTCACCATCTGCATGTTCTCCATGTGGGTATCTCATAGTTAATTACCATCTACTGCAGGAAGAAGCTTCTATGGTATGTGTTGAGTGAGGCACTAATCAATAGGAATAGCTGTATTACTTTAGGAGTCATTGTATTTCACTGATCTTTTACATAATAATAGTAGGAGGTTTTCCATGACCTATCTAACCTCAGGTTCACATTTATAGGCAAAATTTCTTCTGTGGGTTTCATCTCATGGACAACACCCTAGTTTGATCAAACTGTGGTTCGTTACACTCATAGCTTTTCTACACTAGTATAAGAGTGTAGGTTCCAGGAAGGCTACTGCTGCAGTTTTTTGGACATTCAATGTTTGATATTGACAGTTACATTGCCATTAGTCATAACCTTATATTGTGGATAGTCCCCAATAGCCTTGAATTAGCCTATGTTTTTAGGGTATGTGTGTGTGTGTGCAGAGAAGAGAGCAGTGTTTGGAAAGTTTTGAGAAATGACACAAAATAAGGTAAGTCATTCCTTTCACTGGGGGTTTCATTGGTGGCATAAAATATCTTGTTGGGATATTGTCTTCCCCAATATAGTGTGGCTCCATTTAAATTCCTTCCATAATTTCTTTTCAAATGTTCTGGATTATTGGTATTGCATAAAACTTTTCAAAGGCCTTTAGTGTAGCTTGTACCTTACAACATTCCTGCATTGACCTCCTATGATAATTTCTTATTCTTCATTTTATAACATAATACTGTTTTTCATTTTTTAATGGTCTTTTCTTTCCCTATGTTCACTTACTAGCTTACCTCTGTGGTTATTGGATTTAAACACACATATAATAGCTTAAAATCTAGGATCCACATGCAAGAGGAGCCTTGCAGCAGCGTTTGTCTCGTTAAGCCAATGTGACATTACTCAGGATGATAGCCACACATCAAGTAGTCACCATAAATTATGAGAGTCATAAGAAAGACTTTCTTTTAAACATGGAATTCCACAGTGGAAGAGACATGTTGTACAATACAGGTACATTGTATTCCTTTCCTTGGAGACTTCTGACCCACTTAAAATTCTGTTAATGTCTGAGACACAGAAGCATATTCTATATTGAAAGTCTGTTTTTCAGAAACTCTGGGGTATATTGATTAAGTGACAAGGAAATCCACGTTCCTGCTATGTGCATCAAATTTAATCATGACTGCCCCATGATTGTATAGAAAAGCAAAACTGAATGCAATTTTATTTAGAAATTCTCAAAACTTGATAGTTTCCTGCATCTACTTGTCCTGGTTGAGTTTGCTTATTTTTCTTCTAGAGCTTTCAGGTGTTCTATTAATTATCTAGTGTTATTGTTCTTCACTTTCTTCATGTGGACACTTAGTGCTATGTATTATCCTCTCAGAACAGATTTCAAAGAATTCCAAATGTTTGGGTGAGCTGTGCTTTCATTTTCATTGAATTCTAGGAAGTCTTTGATTTCTTTCTTATTTCTTCCTTACCCAGGGGTGATGCGATTGATATGGTTCAATTTCCAAGAGTTTGTGAGGTTCATAAAAGAAAAATTACTAGAACTCAAATCACACATTAAACCCCACACACTTATCTTGGGAAACTTCCCCACCACACTCTCATCAATGGACAGATCCACCAAAGGAATATTAACAGTGACACGTTGGAACTAACAGAAGTTTTGACAATTGGGTTTAACAGACATCTATAGAACCCAAAGAAAAAAAGAATATAACTTCTTCTCAGCACTACAGGGAACTTTCTCTAAAATCATGCACATTCTTGGCAATAGAGCAAACCACAACAATACAACAATTGGAATAAGCACCTGTATCTTGTGGGACCACCACGGCTTAAAATTAGAATTCAATGTCAACACAAATTGCAGAAACTTTGTGCTATGAATTTTCCTCGATTGATTTAATGGTTTTTTTCATTTCCTCTTGAAAGTCCTCTACCATCGTCATTAAGTTTGGGAAATTATAAGTATATTTGCTGGTTCTCCCTCCAATTGGTGCAGGTGATTCCTGTGAATATGGAGGTTGCAGGTAACTGGATGCTGGGGTTCTTCCTCCAGTAACAGAAGGTGGAGTTTCTGCCTCGCTGGTATCTTCTGACAAGCTGCTATGGCTGCAATGACTGGGGCAGAGAAACATTATGACCCTTGTGTCTTAAGGCCTAGAGATTGGAACTCCCCAGCCAGGAGACAGTTGCAAAATTTTTCCTGTAATCAGCTCATGCGGTGCTTGTTCGATCATGGACCTCTGATGCCATGGGAGAAGTTTCACATGGCCAATGGATTGTGCTGATGGTGAAGTGGTCTGCCCACAGGAGTATTACTTTCTTGACTTGGTCAGAGACTATTTATTACTTTGCACTTGATGATAGATTTTTCTTTCATAGAATATATGCTGATGACTGTTTTCTACAATTCTTCTACTCCCATCATTCCCTCTTCTCTCCTTTTCCTCATTTTTTAACTGTCTCCAGTCAGAAAAGAACAGCCAGCAAGAAACAACAAACACCACAAGACAAAACACAATAAGACAGGGCAAAAACCCTCACACTGAGCCTGGACAAAGCAAATCAGAAGAAAAAGAGCACTAAGAACATATGAATATGTCAAAGATAAGACTGCTATCACAGGTTGAATTTCCACAAATATTTGCCAATCACAAAGCTGACACTGACAACATATAACCAGAATATGTTAAGGAGACCACTACTGGCCCTCTGCTTACTGCTTACTGCCTCAGTCTTCCAGAGCCTGTATTCACCCTGCTGAGTTGATTGAGTGGGCCAGGTTCTCACACTTTTCTCTATCCCGTCAGAATCCTACAATATTTTCTTTCCTTCTCTATGGGATTTCCACGAGTTCCCATAGATAGGACCTTTAATTTAGACTCTCTCAGGATAATGTCTTACTGTGGATCTCTGTATCCATTGCCATCTACTGACAGATGAAACATCACTAATGACAATTGTATAAGGCGCTGATGTATAAATATAACAGAATGTCGTTAGGAAATATTTCACTGTTTTGTTTTGTATTTCTTAAATACCAGCCATGGTTTGCTTCCAACCTAGGTCTCTGGGCTATCTACGCTCTGGCTTCTGGCCAACCAAGCAGTGTCAGGCATGAACTTTCCCTTGAAGAGGAAGCCTCAAGTGAAAACAGACATAAGGTGGTCACTCCCACAGTTGTGTGCTGCCATTGTTCCAGCACATCTTGCAGTCATGACACATTTTTGTCAAAGCTATTGTGGCCTGGTTTGTTTTCACATTTCTCTTTCTGTGCTGTTATTTTTACTATTTCTTCAAAAACTACTGGCTTTCCATTTGGCTTGTTATTATCTGCAGACACATGAGCTGGATCATAACACATTTATGTCTGCTTTCTGACTATTAATGCAGGAAATTAGAGTTATAGAATTTTCTTTTGAGACTACTTTTAATGTGTCCCAAAATTATTGTTAGGTTTATCTTTCATTTTCCCTTTTTTCCATCTTTTATTTCTTTTCTGATTTCCTCTTTGACATGCTCATCCTTCAGTAATCTTCTGGTTAATTTCC